AAATCTTAGTTGGGATACACAGCCACAAGCACTTAGCATCATTCTTTCAAATTTCTAGACCCTTTATGTATAAAAAGATTTTCAGAAACTAGGAATTCTCAGTGGATTTTGCACTACTGCCTCTGGGTTGCTTAATTCCCGTTTTCTTGTATTCCTTTTACTTTATACATCTTTTATTACCTGTCTTTTTCAACCTACCAATTTATGTACTTATTTAGATTATTAAAAGTTTTAATAATCCTTGTCTGTAAGACTGAGGTCATAGCAGAGGTCTACCTATAATTAGCATTAGCATGCAACCTAGAAATTACTTCCTGCCCTGTGATCTTAATGCTAGTTACATCTTGTTGATCCTGGTCATAGATACTTATTTTTATGTAATATGGGCAATTATGTACCTAATAGTTAATGTTGTAATGATGCTTTATTTGGGTAGATCTACAGGGTTCCAGTCTAAGTTATATGTTAATTTTTTACGAATTATGTGATACATAAACTAAGCTACTGTAAATTAACAGAACATATGAAAAGAGTCACAAATATAAAAAGTGCAGTCATTCATGTTTCACGTCAGATACTCATTATCATAAACAGAGGTAGTCTTTGAATATTTGATCACATTCAGATGTCCTTGGCGGATCTCAAACAGCATCAGATTTGGACAACTCCCTGAGAATGTCCATGCGTCATGGCTAAGGGCTGGCTGTCATTCTCGTGTGGTCCAGCAGCAGCAAGCCTGCCCAGCAGCAGGGCTTCTACGGATGAGGGAGGCATGGTGGGAGTAGCCCCCCAGCCAGGCTCTCTGCACCTCCTTTTCCTGTTTACCTGGGGCTCCATGGAAATACTATATATTGAAGGCCTCTGGACCCAGAGAAGCTCAGCCTCCCCACACACCCCCAATCACAGGGGACGACATAGGGCTCTGGGAGCTGGAGAGACGCATTCCAGGTGCTCAGAGCATCTCCTTCCCCCTGCACCTTTCTGAAGGGCTCTGCCCAAAGACGGCAGATGCCCCAGTGCCCCATGCGTGTCTTCTCACATGCTCAGATCAATAGGACCACATAATTCTCAGAAGGCTGCTTTATATCTAAAAATAAATAAGGTATAAAAACAAACATGGAGGGCCGGCCCGTGGCTCACTTGGGAGAGTGTGGTGCTGATAACACCAAGGCCAGGGGTTCAGATCCCTATATGGTGATGGCCGCTTAGCTCCCTTGGGAGAGCGTGGTGCTGACAACACCAAATCAAGGGTTAAGATCCCCTTACTGGACATCTTTTTTTTTTTTTAAAGCTATGGTTGTAAAGGAAATTATAACTTTGAATAACATTAGCGTGTCTGCTTATTTTGTCCCAAATTATTATAATACAGTAGAGTTGTGCTTTCTCGGCCGTCTCAAGTATTTTCCCTAAAGCAGAACTTGCTGGTACTTCTTTTACTCTTGGCAAAAAAATTTTGTTTGGGAAAAGTGCTTTTCGCAGTAGCCCTTTAATCATCATTGTGAAGTTTATAGTATGTGAGCAAATCTAAAGGGACATGAGGCATCTTCTCTGAGACAAGAAACACAAAGTTTCCTCCTCTACGAAGAAAGCTGTTTCTTTCTCTTTGCACTTATGGCATGAGAATGAGAGTTTGTAAGGTGTGTGTGTTTCCACACACCGTGCAAAAGATAGCTAGCTACCTGAGGCATTCTGAAGGCACAGGGTATTTGCGCATGAGCCGTAAAACAGCAACCACGCATCCTCCAAGCAGAGAGAGGCAAGTTCTCCAGCCAGCACTGCAGACCACTGTTTACAGTTACTTGTAATAACTTTCAGTTCATACCTTTTTTTCCTTGGAAATGAAATTTTAAAGCACTCAAAATATTTCTCATCCTTAATTATATACTCCACCATGAGGACCAGGAGAAAATCGGCTTACACGTTCATTGACACTGCCGCTTTCCATCACGCAGGTTTCTGCCTGCCGCCCCGCTGGCAAGTGCCACCGTGGCAGCTTCCCTCCATGCTGCTCTTCACTTGCTCATGCGCTCACTGTGCATCTATCGGGTGCAGGCTGTGTAGGGGATATAGTGATGAATAAAAGATTGTTCTCTCTTGCAGAGCATGTTCATTATACAAGCAAAATATGTTAAGTAGCGTGGACGTCCTCCAAGGCAGCTACTGCTGAACCTTTACTGTCCTCCTAATCCTTACTCTTGGCTTATGCTTGACTGTTCTCAGCCCTTTTTAAAAAGTACATGATTCCATAACTTGTTCTTCTAACATAACAATATATCATAAACACAGGTCCAGGCTCAGAAGTGTCACGGTGTGTGATGGACATGCATTTATTTAACAGCATGCATTGTTGGAGAAGGCTTTGCATTACTTACTCGCATTATATCACAAGAGTGACATTTCAGGGTCAAAGGTTAGATTAACTTTTCAGGCTTTCCACACCCATTGCCAAATTATCCTGCAGAAAGAGTATGCCAATGTATAATCCACGCAGCAGTGCGTTTCTCTGGACCAAGATGGAGTTACCATTTAAAAAAAAATCTGCCGATTTGATGAGTTTTTATGATTAGTAAATATGTTTTTAGAGTACCAATAATATTGAGTATTTTTTCATGAGTTTATCCCCTTTAATGTGAGTTCCTCTTCTGTCGTTAGTCTTCTCTGCAAGCTTTCCGCACTGCTGCTTGTTGACTTTATCTTATTTTATTTATTTATTTTGTTCTTTATCTGTTGACCTTCGTCTGTCCTGTACCTCACCAATATCGTCACCGTAGCTGCCTTTCATAGGAGATTTTTTTTTTTAATCGATAATTTCCTCTTTGGTTTCAGTCTTCGATTTCATGTCTGGAAAGACATTCCCAACTCCAAAAGTATATTTTTAAGTACATGATCCTAGCTTTTCTTCTGATAGCTTCACGGCGAGTAAGCAAATAAAGCAAACAGGATAATGATGGACAAGACAGAAGAAGAACTCCTCAGGGGGAATAATCTCATGAATCACGAATCCGTGTTTTCATGCTTGTGCTTGAAAAGCATACGCTCGCCTGTATGTATAATTTGTTAAATATATTTTGCATGAAGGTGTCTCAGAAACAGTACAGTCTGCCCATGTTTTTTATTGTCGTTTCTCCTGGTATGTGTTGCTCATGTTTGGCCGCAAGGGACCCCATGTATAACAGTCATCATATGTTCTGTCTCCAGACCAGTTTGGCGCACAGACTCGTGGCACGAGAAGGCTCGGTCGCTCCACTCCCTCTCTACACATCGCCGTCCTTGCCCAACATCACTTTAGGACTTCCTGCCACCGGCCCTTCAGTGGTAAGCCCGCCTCCGTGGGTCTGTGTAGCTTGCCGTGGCTGTCGCAGGGCCGTCAGCCCAAGCATCCCCCACTGTGGTTTGCAGGGTGCAGCAGGCCAGCAGGACGCCGAGAGGCTCACGCTCCCGGCCCTGCAGCAGAGGATCTCCCTCTTCCCCGGCACCCACCTCCCCCCCTACCTGGGCACCTCGCCCTTGGAGCGGGACAGCGGCACGGCTCACAACCCTCTTCTGCAGCACATGGTCTTACTGGAGCAGCCGCCTACACAGACGCCCCTCGTCACAGGTGAGCACCTTGTGGCACTGGCTGGTGTTGGGGGGCTGCTCTGCCTGTTGTCGGCTTGTGGAAGAGGTGGGAAAGAAAGCCTGTTTCCACCCCAGCGATTTCTGTGTACATATCCCTGGCATGTGACAGCTGTCTTGACTAAGGCAAAAAATCAAGTCTCACTTGCAAAGCTATGTAGACCGGATAAAAATAGATTGTCAATTACACCTTTTGTTTAATTTCTCAAGAGGAGTTCTGGCTCTTCTGATTTGGGTTTCAGACTGGATCAAGTTGAACAGGTGATAGAAACACAGATCAACTCTGGTATATAGTTTCTGTTAGCAAAATTTTTTTACAAATGTGTTCTGAGTGAAGGTTATATTTAGAAAAGTACAATTTAGAGAAAAATAGAAACTCATTATGAAATTTGCATAGCAACAACCAGTATAAAAGTATCGCTTCAGAAATGACGAAACACATGGTGTTTTCTATGAAGCAAGGAGGAATCCCCGCTGCAGGGGTCATCATTTCACACCTTCACACCATCCCCAGCTTGGTGTTTGGCTTCCTGGAAACTTATTTATTTGCTCAAAATTGAAAGCTTAGAGAACCTCAGAGCGGTACCTTTTACACTCCTAACACTAACTTAGTGGAAACCTCAGGTGCTTGGCCTGTCGTAGAGTACTGTGCTGTAGGTGTGCAGCGCTGGTTTGGTTTCGTTTTCTTGTTTTGTGCTCCTGTCTCTCTCCAGCACTTGGTTCTTCAGAATTGCTGGTCTGGCCATAAGGGGCCTTGTCCCATCAGGCACCCTGGCTGGAC